AACTTATAAAAATTAATGTTGCAAATAGGAGGAAAATGCGTGATATTTTAAATTGAGGGAGTAGCTGTTGCTCAAGCAGCACTCTTCAGTTGTACACAAACACTGGTTTGCATGTGGAAGTGTGGTGTTTCTTTTTTGTTTTCCTGCACGTAGTAGCTGACACACTGAAATGGGGGACTCATTGGGATTGAGCATGAAGCGTTAGAAGCAGAATTTACATGTGCACATCAGCCAGGCACAGGCTGGGTTCGCAAGTGGTGGTTGCTATGTGGCGTGTGGAAAATAGAATGGATTCGTTTTAGGTAGCAGTGAATAATCTGCCTGGCTTCTCATGGTTGTTGATGTGCAGTGTCACTTAAATGGATAAAACCCTTTCTTTCCTCCAATATTGCTGAATCTTTTCTTTGTCCACCAGTTCACCTTGTGCTGCCTACTCCAAGATGAAGGGAGCATGTTTGTTCTGCTTCTTGTCAGACTGCTTAATCACAGTCTTTCTCTTTATTTTTATAGAGCAAATTCGATTAAAGAATATAAGAAATGTATATGGAAGATGCTTGTGGTATCGTTTGCGACTATTAAAACCACAACAAAATATAATTCCTACAGTGAAGTAAGTATGCTTCATTTGCATGACTCTTCGTTAAAGCAATTCCTACATTTTTATAAAAATATGGGTTTTCTTGTAATCACGGCAGCTGGAATTATTTCTATAATAATGGCTTTTGTGTCACAGAAGAAACATTTGCTATATTTGAATAATTAACTATGAATCATATTTATCTAGTAGGGCTTAAAATAAAGATGGATGCTGTTTGACCTTTATAAAATACCTGCTAAATTAAACCAGTGAACCTCAGCACTAAGAAATAAGTAAACAGTGCATTTTTGTTCCGAAAAAATAATCCTTCCTCACTGAATTTAGCAGTGCTAACAATGTCTTTTGATTTAAATATTTAATATGTAAACATACGCATTCAAATGTACAATAGTAAGAATTTGTATGTTCAAAGTTGATGATTTTATATCCTTCAGTTCTTTAATTACTCTCATCCTCAAAATGTTTTGCTGTCTGTTACGCATCTCTTTTGGCTTTTTGTGGCTTTTAGCATAGCCTTTGTCTAGGATCAGGTTAAAGTCATCCTTTTAAAATAGGAAATACTATTGTATATCTGCAGAGGACAGACAGTTAAAGAATGAAAAAAGTCTTCATTGATAGTGGACTGCCTGTTTTATTAAAAAAAAACCACACAAAAAAACCCCAAAAACCAAAAAACCCACAAAACCACCTAAAAATTAATTAGAAGTCAGAGCAGCTTGTCTTGTCAGTATCAAAGGTGATGTTATAACTGAAACAATCCTATCTTCTTAAAAATTGCTTTTATTTTTCTTGCTGTTTTAACACTGTCCTGAAGACTGATATCAAATGACTTCTTATGTTATTTATATTATTTGAATTTTAGTAGAGCCAGTGTATTTGTACATTTAAAAAATTATTTCTTCCAAACAGGAAAATAGTCCTCCTTGCTGGCTGGGCCTTATTTTTGTTTCTTGCATACAAAGTTTCCAAAACAGACCGAGAGTATCAAGAATACAACCCTTATGAGGTTTTACATTTGGATCCTGTAAGTAACACCTTTTTTTACTAGTCTGTGCTACTGTAACTGTATATTCTGTGTATAGATGTCAAATTTAAGACTTGTTTTTTAAACAAAACAAGTTAACTTTAATGAATGTATCTTGTGTTTTTTCCTTTGTTTAGCATCTGAAAGTTGCTGCTGCTTATTGTAAAGTCACTTGTTAGATACTCTTTGCCTGTATCTGTACTAATTTGTAACTTATGTGTTGAACTCCTTCAAAGTTGTAATTACTTTCTTAATACACTGAGGTAGATTTTTCAATCTATTTTGAATCTTACTGTGATGTTTTCCTCACTTGGTACAGGAAAAAAAAGTCATTCTGCCTTGTATGCCCTGTGAAAATCCACTCAAATGCTGCTGAATAAACTGTATAAACAAAAATGTGGATTCATTTGATTTACGTTGTTGTGTGGCAGTATTTCTCTTGTAAATGAAAGGTTTCACTAAAGGGTGTTGGCGATGCACATTTTGATGTAGTAAAGGTTACCTTGAATCTCAGTTGCGTATGTGAATGCAAACAACAACCTTTAAGTAGTGATACCAGCCAACTGGTTTATTAAACTGGAAAAAAAAGACAGTGTTTATCTAGAAAACAAATGCAATACTTTCTTTATATTGAAGCGCTGATTCAGAATAGATATAAAAGGTTATATATCCTGAGGAGACAAATGGACATTCTGGACATCTCTTAAACTCTTAGTCTTGTCAAACTCTTTTCTTCATCTTAACCACAATACGTCAAGCAAATTAACTGCTTATGGTAATTCTTTCCTGATAAAAAGGAGTAACAGTAGAGTCACCTTTTCAGTTCTGAAGTCTGGAGTATGTTTTACTCGCCTGCTTAACTGCACTGTGGATACAGTTCAACACAAGAATATGGAAAAACATTGAATGTACCTGTTTTGATTAAACTTGATGCATATTGTTAGTGTGGGAGAGCTTAATATGTGGATGAACATTCAACAAATGCATCTATTGCCATAGATGTGGCTTGTCAGCAGAAGGTAGGGCATCACTGGTACTGTTATGTTAGGCTTGGAAAGCCATTATAGCAGATATAACTCCAGCCTGTTTCTAGCTAGACAAGTAGAACAAGACCTACCTGTCATCTGCAGTGAAAAGGTATTTAAATACAACTTCTGCTCAGTTCCTCTGTGGATGACCGATTCCTGACTTGTGTTCTCACTGACACACAGGAACAAGATGAATTTTTGCTATTGAATGGTATCTGTTGGAACCATGCAGTGTAAATGTTCATATATCTGGGTTAACTGGTTAAACAAATCAGGCTAGGGATTAGGTCATCAGAGGATTTTCTTTTGTCATCTTTGGCAAATTTCTACAAGAAACAAACCTGAGGGGAAACAAATATGTATGTAGTGAATTGTAACTTAATGTTTATTAATGAAAACTTGTATGCACGCTGAAGACACATGCAGCTTATCCAGGCAAAGAAACTGATACTGGAACACTCCAAGAACTGGTAAAAGGGGTGTAGCATGTTCTCATAAGGACAAGCTGAATTAAAGCCAGAGGTGTTACAAGGGGGATGAGATGGGTGGGAAGATAAATCAGTGGTAGTAGGCCTCAAAATAGAGTCCAAGATTCCAGAGTGTGTGTTTTTTGTTTGTGTGATCAGATGGTGTCTGTTAAATCCTGTTGCAAAACTTCTAGTTCAGACTACATGAGAGTTAACAGCTTTCTTCTGTTACCATTCAAGTGGAGCCAGCCCTGCTGATGTGGAAGTGATATAGATGTTGAAGTGTTGTTAGATAATGGAGGTGTTGTTGCTGTTTAAGAAAAAAAATCAACCTCACCCCTCCCCCACCCCCTAAAAACCCCAATTGCTTGTTTGCATTCACACCATGGCCAAGATTATTTTTTATCTTATGTTAGCATATCGGCTTATAACAAGATGCTTTTTTTCTCCAGAGAATCACAACATGGACAAAGTTCAGATAATGTGTGTGCACCTTATTTGATATGTAATATCAGCACTTTGTTTTGAATATAGTATAGCTCTTTTTGGAGCACGTGATTTTAATTCACTAATACGTAAGGCACTTGGATAGTATTACTGATTTATTGAATAAGTATCATTGCTGCCATTTTACAGGTGGCATCCAGGGCAGAAAGTGAAGCTCAGAACTGATAATTTCGGATTCTTTAAGACAATCAGGGCCCTAATTTTCTTTTTTTAATAAGCTGTTAATATAGGGAAGCTCTCTGTTCCAAGCAGAGCGCTGGCTGACACCTACTGTCCTAGGCTGCTAAGCATTTCTGTAAGTCAGGCTTAACCTCTGTACCCTAGCTTTTGAAAATGAGGAGTAAGCAATTAATGACAGTTGGAAATTTGTCATCAGCTTATTGGGGATCACATGCAACCTCTGGTAGAGAGAGAAATAAAATGGGATTTTTTTTTTCTATGGGCAGCATTCATATGGGCCATGAAAACCCCTTTCTTCTCCAGCAACCTGATTTTATTTTTCCTCCCACTTTCCAGCTTCTGCTTCATCTGACATTTTTCTTGTTTTGAAATGTCTCTTTTTACTTGAAATGTAATTTATTATAGAGTAAACTAATCCTGCGCATTAAATGAAGCAGGCATGCTGTTGAAAAATAGTGTTGGAGAATGACAGACACATTGTATAAAGAGAGAGAAAGTAACAGCAAATGGAGCCTCAGGGTGGTTCAATTTCTAGTTTAAATTTATTGAAACAGTACTATCATCTTTAATTTCTCATGTGTTTATTATGCAATTAGGGCCAGGCCTCTCTATCACGGAATGTTGAAAGGTCCTATGGTAGTCATTCTGTGAAACCTAGCAGGTAGCTTACTAGAAAAAAAATTATCTGCCCTTACTATAAAGTTTTGTGGGTTTTCTTGAGTAGTGAAGTTCAGAGTCCAACCTGAAAGTTAATGCACTAGGGGTTGTGTTGGTGGCATTTAACAGCGTGCTGTAGTAGAATTAAAAATTGTCTTTCTTGCAGGTATAGGTAAAGTATTCCCTTTGTTCAAGAAGTTTGAAATAATTCATGGATGGAATGATTCTAGTCAAAGGCTTCATAAGCTGCAGGGCAATTCACTGCTCTTAGTGACTGGCAGATTTATTTCTGCCTTCAAGCTGCAAGTGAACCATCATACTTGATCTATGAACCCTTTGCTTAAAGAGTATATTGCAAGTGAGATTTCCTCGTGTTCATGAATATGTTTAGGAAGAGATAAGATTTGTCAAACAGATAAGGTGGCCTTACATATTTTTTTTCCTATGGATGGATAAACAAGGTAATTCAGGAAAAACCCAATATCCATCCATCTGAATGTCTTTTTTGTTAGACTATGATTTCTAACTTGTTGTAAAAATATAATGGTTATAAAAATGTTATTAGAAAAATAATCGTGTTTCCATGAAATGCATATTTAGCCTCATAATCATATCATATATTGGAACATAGTTGTTTAAAGTTCAGTTAATAGTTCAGAGAAATATTGCACAATGTGCTTTAGAATATAGACCTAGAAAAATTGATTTTATTTAATTATTTTTCTCATAACTTAAAACTTTCCTTTTTAAGGGAGCAAGTATATCGGAAATTAAGAAACAATACCGTGCATTATCACTAAAATACCATCCAGATAAAGGAGGAGATGAAGTCATGTTCATGAGGATTGCTAAGGCCTATGCAGCGTAAGTCTGTTTTTTGCCAACAAAAAATGGGAACTTGCTATTATGGGGAGGGAAACCTTTAAGATAATAGCAGGGATTACCTAAGCAGCAAGGGAAAATATGTTCAGATATGTAACGAAAGTCAAAACATGTCTCAGTTCAGTGCATACTTGTTCTGTGCAAGTTAGGAAGGGTAACTTAATTGTTTTGCAGCTGTCGGAACAATGTAAGATGCTAGGTCTTTATGTTAAGCTGCCATGTCAGCTAGTAAAAGTGTTCCAGTGCAATACATATTAAATCTCAAAGATGACAAAGAACAAAATGAGTGTTGTGTTGCAGTTTTTAACCAATCAACCCTGTAGCAGTAATTCTGAAGTGTTGCTTAGAAAATACATATACTGTTCATTTCACCTGGTGATAAAGCCAAAGGGTAAGAGACAATATTGTAACTGTTGCTGTCTAGTGCCAGATGTTTTATTCTGGTTCTGACTCAGCTGGTTCTCAGCTGCCCCATGTTTCTTTCTGTTTGTGCTTGCCTTGCAGTCCTGATTTTTCATTCTGTTTCATATTACCCGTGTAGTTCTTAAAAGCTGAATCCTCGAATCCTTTTTTTCCTCCAGAGTATTTTTGGCTTTACCCCTGCTTACAGCTTTCCTTCTTATCGGAGAGATAGTCTAATATTAGAACTTGGTATAAAGGAAATCTTTTTTTATTGAATTTTTCCATAATCAGGATGTGGGTTTGGGTTTTGTAATGCTGTTCATACACAGAACGTTAATGCAGCTTCATACTGTTTTGTACTCTAAATGATCATCTGTCAGAGTCCAATACTCTCTGGCCAGGTTCTTTTGGATATTCCAGGTGTGGAGCATGTAATGTTTAATATCAGATTTGTTTATCTGAGGACAGTTGGAGTTACATGCGCTTTCCAATTTGGCAGGGTGCTATGTTTGTGCTGTGTTTTTAGTATATTATGTAAGTTAGACTTGGCAAAACACAGCAGCTGCAATACACAGTTCATTCACAATACCAGTAATATTCCTATTATCAGTCTCCAGTATACTCATTGTCATGATGCTGAGCATCCCCAGGTACCAGGAAGGTATGTGTGGTTTGAACCCATCTTAAAACCTTTGTTTTCATCAAATTCTTTTAATAGTTTTCTAGTTTTTATACTCCGTGTTGGGCTCAGCCGGGTGTGCACTCTCCCCCATGCTCGTCTTGCAAACTCAAGGAGACATTCATAGTTTTTTGATGCACTTGTGAAGCTTTCACCACCAGTTTATCTCATCAACTGTTGATAGGTATTTATCTAAAACAAAGGCCACCCTCCAGTCCCCTTTGACAGAGTCAGCTTCTTCAGCAGCTGTGGTGAGTCACTGTGGTCAGTCTGAGCTTCATGTCCCATCGCCCTCGCCCACCCCCTCTGAGCCTTCTTTTATTGTAGGGGTTTATTGGGTCAGTCACATCATCAGAGACCCTAGCAAGTTGGTGTTTTCTGCTTTTAAGTCAGTTATCTGTGTGATTTACCTTACTGTTTGAGAGTCCTGTTTGGGGTGAGGCGAGAAGGAGAACCAACACCATGCTCACTTGAGCAGTTTTGAAATCATACTTCCTGTTTAAACACGTCTGTATCACTGTGAAAATCTCTTCCATAGGATATTCTGGCATTGCTTTCTGAACTCCTGAAACATCTCACTTTGCTTTCCAAGCTAGCACTCAGGTGCTTGGTGATAAAGTTTGATATTCCAAATGCTAATGCAAGGGCTGTGGCAGAGTCATATCTTGAAGTAAATGATGGTGAAGTTCCTCAGCCGTGCTGTCTTGACAGAGTATAAAAGCGACCCACTCAGTGAGTCTGCTTGTTAACAAGTGTGAGACTTTGGAAATGATCAGGAGATGTCTGCTCACTGCGTTTCTTCTGAGAGACAAAATCTTCGATGTAGTGAATGCGTCATGTTCTGTTTCCTAAAGCAGTATTCTTCCTTCTAGTAACAGGGTTTGTTTGAGGTGGTATATTATTGCCAAGAAACTGTCATTACAGAACAGGCATAGGAACTGTAAGATTTAGGAGGTAGTGTCTTAATTTATTTCTCTCTTCTTAAATACGAAACTAGGGAGTTCCAGGAAAAAAACCACCCAACCAAACGCATGTCATCAAAGAATAGGAGTCTGGAATAAGTGAATTAAAAGCCCATATGGAGAACTTAAGCTGTATCAACTCACACTGCATATTCACCTTCCTTACAGAAAAAAAAGTTTTCAACGTTTGTTGTCTTTCAAAGTTTGTTGTGCTGTGACCTGGTACTGAAAAGTGCTCTTTGCTGATGGGCACGCAGTCACACATGAGAGGGAGATGTGATCGTTCCCTCTCTTGTACGAGGGTGCGCCTTCTTTTTCTGATTTCTTTTGCTGTCGGAGTCCTAAAAGAATTTGCCTGTGTATCATGAAGAAATAGAGCAGTAATGTTTCGTATCAGATTTCATACGAACAATAGCAAAAGCTGTTTAGCTTGCCAAACTGTCTCTGAAGAACAGTATAAATGCCATATTTTAAGGTTTCTATATGCTAGTGATTTAGAGAAATTTCTTTACTTCTGTGTTAACTTAATATCTTTCCTTGAACTAGCTTAACTGATGAAGAATCACGAAAAAATTGGGAAGAATTTGGTAATCCAGATGGACCACAAGGTAACAATTTTGAATGGCATAAGTCCTGTAACTTCTGTACATTGAGCTGTGCAATATCAGATCATTTGAGAAGCACACAGATGTTGATGTATATAGAATAACTCCCTATCTGAAGCAACACATCCAATCAATTCCTTGCTTGTCAAACTTTCTCTGGGGTGGTGGTGGGAGGAAAGAGTTTGCTTTTGCATTTCTCAGACTTTTTAAGGAAAAAGAAGGTATTTGGTAATTAGCTTCAGTAAGTATCTAGAGGAATTTGCCAGTATTAAAAGGAGCTATAAGTGCAAAATAGAATAATACTCATCAAACTTGACAGTTTTAAACATTTCTTAGTATTTATGATCAGATACCATCAATGTATATTGAAAAGTCAACTAGCCATAATACAATAAACCAACTTCTAAAAGATGTATGTGAGGATAGGTATGTATTTAAGTAAATACTGTATGCACATCTGCCTTCCATTTTCTGGAAGCTGTACTGTTTAAGTGTAACTCTGTGCCACCTTCATCTTGAGGAGTCCTGGTGATTATCCCTCTGCTTGTAGATTGTTCCTGGGCAGGTAGCTACATGGAAATAATTCTGGTGATGGTGTATTAAAGTTTTATAGTAGATGATGCAAACTAAAACAGTTTAAGACTAAAAGTTAATAGATTTTTTTTCCCCCTCCTATTTGCAGTTGTGTGAGTTGCTTGTTTAGCATCTTTGTGACTGTTTAAGTGAACTAGTAGTGAGGAGGCATGTTGTGTATTTCTTGCTGCTTTTGATACAACAAGCAAAAAGGAAACCTGCTATCTGTTAGAACAGGCCTCTGTAGATCTCTGCTTGGTGATGCCCTGCAGTCTGTGGGACAGCATTATGCTACATATTTACATGGAATGAGTTAAGGCCAGCTTGAAAGTAATAAATGAAATTTATAACTTAATTATGAAATTATGGGATGACATGAGGAAACTGTGCTGGAATTTCTTCTGAATTGTATCCATCTAACATGGGAAATTAAGTTTAAAAGAGGAAAAGAAACCAACCCCTGAACCAGTGTTTCAGAGAAACCATCTTCCCTCTCCCTTCAAAGAAGCAACTGTGCCAACTAAACCATAGTCTGACAAAAGCATTTCTGATGGACTAAGGTGGTGGTTCAGTTTCTTTAACACTGTGTTTTATAGCACAACAAATTTCTTTCAGCTCCTAGCTTCTCTTGGTTTCCTAGCCAGGCAAGTAGGAGGACTCTGTCCCTTCTTGCTGCAAAATACAAATAAGATCTTTCTTCAGAAATGCTGTCACAGTATCAGCAAAGTGGTACTGTAAATTTTAGTACACTATATGTGCAAATAGCTTTCCTATGACCTCTCCTGATGCTAAACTGTTTTTTTCATCCACAAGCTACTAACTTGGTCTTGCCAAGGCATACGATTTCAAGTTAGGTAGTGTATGTCAGTGTCCTTGAACAGACCTGAAGCTGTGACTTCAAAAAAAAACTCAGCAAAAAGCTGAGAATTTTAAGACATGAAGATGTGTGTGTGGCTGGCTCAGAGATTGCTTTCACAAACTTAAGGGACTCTGGATTCCCAAAGGACAAAATGAAATGATGCTTTGGTGGGCAGCAGTTCATGCTGTGTGAAGCTGCCTGCTCTTCTGAAACCCTGACTTGGAGAATGGTGGAACTGGAGTTCTCTGCTTTGCCTCTTGGTCTCTCATCATTGCTTCATCTGAAGGGTGGGAAGAAGCCAGAAATTTTCTCCATTCCCATCTTCTATTCTGGAAACTTGTTCTGCATTGAAGTGTGAAGAGCTTTCTAATTTAGTGAAATTCATTGCCACTTCATTTAGATGCTTGTAATGTAAAAATCTGTATCCAGGTTACATACTCTAGTTTTTTAATTTTGTGTAGCCAAAAAATGGAAACAGTCCCTTCTAGAGGTATATTCTGGGATGAGATGAAGCTCATCTGGCATTGGATGTGTCTGACCAGACTGGATGAGGTACGTCCCACCCTGTGTACCCAGCACAGAGGAGCAGCAAGTGGTATTCCTCTCTGTCCAACTGAAGCAGGATAGAGGTTAGAGGCAGGCAAACAAGATGTCCTTGTCTTTGGTGTGACTTATAAGAATGTGTAAAATCATTTGAAGAATGTTTAAAAGCAGATGAGGGGACCTGGAAGTAAAAAGATATGCTCTTAAAAACGTAAGGCAGTTTTAGTGGACTATTGCCCCTTGGTATTTGCTAGTGCCTCCCCTCAGCGAGCATGGATGGGAGCAAGGAGACCCTCAGATCAGAAAAGAAAGAGCTTTGTACCAAACTACCATTCCTGGCACAGTTTGAAGGTACAGTCCTAAAGGTCAAAAATATTGTGGGAAACTGAAATTCATACTGCCTGTAAAAGACACTTTTACATTTTCAGTAGATTCTTCTAAAATTCTGTAACCCTTAACAGGTAGGGAAGTGTCTCCAGACTTTTCTCCAGAGCAGGGCATTTCCTGTAACTTAATATGGTAAACTTACTGGCTGTTGTTCTGTTGAATTCCTGAGTTTGAAGTGTGGTCAGGTTGCTCACATGTTTAATTTGACTCTCAACAGGTAGTAGTTTCCAGCCTGCACAGAATTCATGCTTGGCTTGTGCATAACGACTGGTGTCTGAATTGATGCCTGTCATAATCTGTTGGAGATGGTATCAGAATAGTATCTAAGTACATAGGGGATCCAAGTCTGCCCTTTTTAAAGGCAATACTCCTCTTTGATAACCTGCTAGTACTGAGGAATCTACGTGTTTTGGGTTGTGGGGTTTTTTTGGCGGTTTTTTTGTTGTTGAGTTTTTTTATCAGGCCTTAGGAATCTGTAAAGTTTGAGGTTTGTTTAAATTTCTCTTTTCTTGGTTTCCTAGAACTTCTAGTGCTGGGATAGGTAGTGTTTGCAAAGTTCAGTTTATTACCGATAAAGTGTCTGAAGACAAGCTATTTTATGCTATTCTGTATTCAGATCTGTGTGCTGTAGATGTTGCTGTTAGAGAATCGTGTCTTCTGTTTTCTGCAGCCTAACTCCTTTTGAATGGAAAAGTGCTCCTTTCTCTTTCTTACCAATCACACAGATATTGGAACTGGCAGAGGGTTTAGTTTTTACAATTTACAGCTTAATACGCTTTCCTGAAGTTATAAACTAATACAACTCTTTCCATAGAATTCATGTGCTCAAACAGCTCTCTTGCAGTTCATGTGTTTACTGATCTGTATGTATTTCAGCACTTCAAAAGTCTGTGGGGCAAAGCTTGTAAATCTTTCCGTCTGTGAAATCTTTATCGCTTTTTTATATATTAATAAATCGTGCCTATTAACATGGCAATATGTTAAGCTAAAATGTCTGGTATTTCAAATGTGGCATTTAAGTCTTGTTATTTTATTGTACACTTGAGTGTATTTCTAACCTGTTTTTCGGTTTCACTAAATTTGTTAGAATTTTGCTTATGAAGTGATAAAGTGTTTTGGTTTTTTTTTTCTTTTAGACTTAATGTGACTTTAAAAAAAATTCCTTAATATTTTATAGTGAATTTCTTTTTTTTTCATCCTACAGCTACAAGCTTTGGTATAGCTTTGCCAGCCTGGATTGTGGATCAGAAAAATTCAATTTTGGTGAGTCAGCTTACTTAGGTCAAGACTTTAAGATGAACTTTCAAGTGTTCACCTTAAAATGTTTGTGCTTAATACTGTGCTTTTTAGTTAAAACACATGCATTTGAACCAAGCTATTATTATTTACATCTTTGAAGTAAATTTCAGGACTCAGAAGTGTTAGAGTAATTGAAACCTGAGCTTTGAGAGTAAAGTGTTAATATGCTCAGAAGGGTCTCATTGCAATGATAATGAGGTTGTTCTGTGGTCAGCCCTGCTACAAAGTGTGCATTTGCTGTTGCAAGTAAACACATACAGAACTGTTTGCTTGCTGGATTTCTCTGTTTCCACTTGGTTTGCTAGCGATGCTGTAATCATGCAGTGTCTAAACGCTCTTTCTCTTGCATTTGTTGCTGCAAGGTATTTGGCTTACCCACTTAATTCCATTTAAAGTGGTAATCATCTCTGTTTAGCTGCCAACTCTTTAATAATTAAAGAAACCCACCTGAGACAATGTGTGGATGATTTAAAAGATTACTTACACTGAACTGATACTCTTCATTTAAACCCTACCCAACTGATTGTATTACTTGGAAGTTGTTCTTCAGAAATAATGATGGAGAATTAATGCAATAAGCTTGCATTAATTTGTAGTAGGCTTGCGGTAATACTACTTGACTGTATTGAGGAAGAAAGAGTGGTAAAAAAATAAAGTAACTGAAGTATCTAACGCAATATGTTTCATAATTTTTCTATAGGTTTTGCTTGTATATGGATTGGCATTTATGGTTATTCTTCCAGTTGTTGTGGTAAGTATTATCTAATTAATATTCTGTCCTCTGCAATCAAGCTGTAAACAAAGCTGTCTTAGATATAAGCAGAGTTGCTCATTCTTGCCTTTCATGGAGAGAGCGAGCAAGAGAGCTTTTTTGTTTTTAATGTAGGTGTTTTCTTTTATTATGGAAAAAGTGTAGCTGCTGCAGAATTTCCAGAAAAATGCAGTGCTATGATAGAGGGCTGTAGAAAAAGAAAAGCTATCACAAGAGTTAGACTGAGTTGTGTAATTTGTCTTGCACCTTCTGTCATTCATCACATGAAAATTAATATGATGTGATGAACTCAAGAGCATATTCAGTGGCATTACTGTAGATTCAAGACTGAGATGTCTGTAGCTGGAGTGATTACTGCATGGGGAACGGGTTGTTGATTTGGTTTCTCCTGGCTGCCTTTGTTTCCATAACTTCAGTTTTTATTGATCTGTTGTACACTATGAGTTGCCTGCCCTTGGGATTTCTTTGTGTGATGTATCAGTTGCTAGCTGAGTGGTATTTCAGGGCTTGGGTTTGCCCTACACTGTTGCTTTTGAGCAATGTCCCTTATGATTGTGCGTTTGGGGTATGGCATGAAGAAAGACTCAGAGAATCGACACCCAGATACCTTCATGCTCTTGGGAAGAAGATTTTCAATTGAGAAAGAGCCCTGGGGTCTTGACAGCTGCTTATATCTCTGTGTGCAGAGGCTCAAACAGGCATTATCCCTCCTCTTTGAGAGTCTGTCTGCATAATTGAAGATTTAGTGTAGAAAATTAGATGTGACGATTTCGGCAAGTTGTTGAATAAACCTAAAATCCAGGGTACATCCGCATATTTTTCCTGTCTTTCCTTTTAGGTTTCAGTTGGTGTTTGTTGCTACTTTTCTGTATACATGTACTTTTAGTGATTTATGCTAGGCTTATCATAGCTTAAGTGAAGGTAAACATCCTTTTGTTGTTATGAAGAAATGTCCTGAGCACAGAAGAAAAATAGTCTGCCTCTTCTTGCTCATACAAGAGATGTAGACTTCTGCATTCAGACTTCTCACTGTAAATTTCTTTTAAGTCAGTGAGGAAGAATAGTCATTTTTATGAAGCAAGTTATTTTATAATTTCATTCTAAAGTAGACATACAAGATGATTCATGCATTTAATGGGCCTGTTTCTCTTTTATGAATCAATAAAGAAGCTGAAGTTAACTACAGTGTAGTCATCCTATATATGAGATAGGCATCTAAAATAAAGTAAGGCTAGTTCCACCCTTTGAATCCAGATCAACAAGAAAGGAAAATACTGATACATAGTTCTTCCTAGACCTCTGCTGACCTAAATAATTCTGTACGTGAGGTGAGAGACAAGCTGTATCTGCAAAGGCAATCTCTTTCATGTAGATTTGGACTGACTATAGCTACATTTTTCTTCGAGTACCTATAGTTAGACAGCAATTCGATAGCTATGGCGTTATAGTCTGAATTTTTCTGCAGAAAAACTTCCAAAAAAAATTATGTATTATGTTGTGTCAGGGTTCATCTATTCATGAAAGAATCAAACCTAATTTATTCAAAGAAGTAGTATGTGGGGAGCCAGTCCTAGAGCATTTCCCAAACAATTAAGTAGATTACTACTTGCTGTAGTAGGGGAATTTACATTATTGCCTATTAAATTAATAGTGGTAAGCATCGCTTACTACTTTACTGCTTGTTACTTTTCGCAAACTTTACAGTAGATTGAGATGTGTCTTCAATGTTTTTTCTCATATTTCTGGGCTTTGCTTACAAGGAGGAGTTTAATGAGCAGCCTGCAGCTTATAACCCAGCACACCATTTTTTCTTAAAATATGTCATCTGGAACAATCTAGTGCAGTGAGTTCTGTAATACAAAGTCACTGCTGTAATGCTAATGAGGGAATTATTGGAGTTTTTCTGAAGGTTTGGAGAACTTCGTCTGTCAGTCTGAAGTAGTATGGTGTAAGTCTGAAAATTTGCAGGAAGGACGCTGGGCAATCCCCAGATTCCCTCTTCTGAAAAGCATTTTCTGATTAGGTGCCTTAAATTATTTTTTGCAAGTTTTCTCATAGTGAAAGCAATCTCTTATTTTATTCTTGGTTTGGCCTTGGTCTGCCTAAACTGAATTTGATTTGAATCCTATGTTGCACATTTAAGAGTTACCCTGTATATAGGAAATAGTAAATCCAATGGATTTACTGTTTAGTGGATTCACTAAAACCACCAAAAATTAACAAAGCAGGGTATATGTTGGGGGAATTCTCTAGGCTAGAGATCATCTAAAAACTTTTAGCATCAGATTCTCTCAGATTAATGTATTGGTGTGCTTCTATAATTTGTGAACAATTTTTTTTGTTTCCTTCTTGTTTCTGAAGTTCGGTTGAGCTTAACACAGATAACATCAGCTGGGCTGAGTTTACCTGGTTGTGAACAGATGTGAAGTGATCCAGCATAGCTGTTTCCATGCTTTATTGTGGCTGATGTTATCTTGTTCTTGTTAAATGTCTCAGGGTTCCTGGTGGTACCGATCGATACGATACAGTGGAGATCAGATTCTCATTCGGACAACTCAAATATATACGTATTTTGTCTATAAAACACGGAACATGGACATGAAACGTAAGTAAAAGGCATCTTGAAATGTTTGTGTTCATCTGGAAATGTTGATCTGCTGATGTTAAAATGCTTCTGCTTTATAAGCCTCTGTTAGATTATTTTAATGTTTCTGGTTCTTTTAGAGCTTTTAAAAACTCAATTTTGTTGCACTTGAGTACTCAGCAAGAAGACTCAAGTATTTGGGAGAGTGAGATACATCAGTCTATATTTGTCTGTCTACCTGTACATGAAAAAAAATTCATGCTGACTTGCCTGTAGACCTGAGTTACTGTATGGCCCCTAGGTGCACAGCTTCTGTGTGTTTTCTTATGTTAGTGTAAGAAATTGAGCTTTGAGAATTTTCCTGAGGCTGTCATGAAATTCTTGTGTCGCCAAAGAATGCAATAGCATTTTTGGTTCTCTGTTCTTAATTGTTACATTATAGCTAAGCTTTTGTAAAAAAGTTCCTCCTTGTCATTTTCATGGCACTTTGTTACTCGTTTGTAGTTTTTGACATTTTTCTTGTCTGCTCACTTTTGAAGGAATACTAAAAAATAAACTTTTTCTGGGGAAATTGGTAGATGAATTATACTAATGCAGAATTGAATCTTTCAGTTCGGAGGCTGGCATGGGCCTGAAGTGCTAGCATGGGTTCTAGTAGATTGCATGCTCAGAGCAATTGAAAAGCAGAATTAAAAAAAACTCCCCAAAACCCTCTAATAAGGGTTCATAAATATATTTTCTTACTCCTTTGAATGTACTTTTGTTTTGCTTTAGATTTGCTGGAAGCATCTGCATTCCTTTCCTACTGAACAGAAATTCTTTGCAGATAATCCATGAGGTCTAGGAGATAAGAGTGTGGAAACACGTTAGCTTTCTGGTCACAGCCTACGTGGATTTGTGTGCGTGTAATTCAGATGAATTTATGCTCTCCGCCTTGTCATACTTTTATACTTCTCTCCAAACAGCTAGTTGAGAAAGGAGGAATGGGAAAGTAGGGGAGTGGTCTTTAGAAGTTTAGGGAGGTCACTGCAAACCTGGTTTCTTCTTTCTCAGGACTTCTTGTCAGCAGTAGATTATTTCATGTTGAGCCTTGCTCAAAACCATAGCTTTGAATCTTGCCTTGTGCCTCCTACAGATTGTTAAAAAGTTAGCCTTAAGTTTAATAGGCCTTATTTAAGGACTTAACACTTTGAGAGAGTCCTGGGGTCAGAGGCAGGTTGGCTTTTTCCATTGAGGTCTGGTGTGCTGTCTAAATGAAAAATGAGGCACAGCTGAGATGGCTTAGACAAATCAGGCAGTGGTCAGGTAAGGCTTTTGCTTGGTTGCAAATTCCACAGTGGTACATGGTACCAGTGCCAAAACTCCAGACTTAAGCCTGGGCAGATGTAATCAAACTGGGCTAGGACTGCATGGCTTGCCTTGTGTTAGGTATTTTTTTAGGTTTCAATACAAATGAGTTTTAAAAACTTCCTTTCTTGAGGATCCACAGTTGTTGAACTTAAATAATAGGAAAGTATTTATAGTAGTCTGAAACTCTTCCATATGCTGTACTCAGGAAGTAAATAGATAATCAAGAAACGGAAATGAAAATTGATGCTCAGGGAACTTGACTAATTGTTCGTAGGTGGAATTCACTGAGCACTGCAAGCAGGCAAAAATAACTTTGACTTGCTCAGAAGAGAACTTGCTCAAAATTTAAGAATGAAGCTTGAGTGACTATTGTTAAGAAGTTATTTTAATGGGAGCAAATGATGGGGTGACCTTTCTCTTTTTGTCTATGGCTGAGGAGTTTGGTATGTTCATGAGCAGAAAGCTCATAATGGGGCTAAAATACTCGTTGTGTAGGTCTTTCCTCCTAATTACACAACAATGTTTTGAGGTAGTATGGATTTTCCTAATCACATTAGGAAAAGAGCAGTCCATCATCTTCATAGGATTTGTTTGCAATTTGTTATTGAACTGCTTTTCTGATAATTAAAAGATTTTTTTTGGTGGATTTTTCTGCTGACTGAACAGAAAAATGAGCTGAAATTTTATCCTTCCCACTTCTCTCCCATCCCTGCTCCAGTACGTGCATTTTAGTGCCGCTGCAGGCACATGAATTGCTGAGAAGAATGGTTCTGTGAGCATGCAGCAGTCAAACTGCTGTGCATTGGCGTCCTAAAGCAGCCTAACTGTGTTTTTGTGAAGACATTTAGTATCAAATGCTGGAGTTGATGCCATACAAAATGAAGCCTTGAGCAATCTTTTTGTCTTGTGCCAGGCATTGATTCTTGCTTCCTCTGCCCTGCGGTGGTAGTAACTGATCCACTGAACAGAGAATGTGGATATTCCTGGTTGTTGGGGGAAGAGTGGGAATAAGTTCTTTATGTCTGAGTGTTTAGAAGAAATCATTCAGTAGCGTAGGATGTTGCTGACATTTTCTGTCTGCTTCCAATTATCTTTGCAGGGCTTATCATGGTTTTAGCAGGGGCATCTGAATTTGATCCTCAGTACAATAAAGATGCTACGAGCAGACCAGCAGACAACATTCAGATACCACAGGTTGGTTGATAGCAAGAGATGTTTTGTAAATAACTGACCCCTTGAAGGGAAGAGGGAGATGGCACTTCTGGGTGACCATTGTGCAAGCCCTTTACATTTAATCATTCTTTATTTAAAAGGCAGTCAAGCCTCCTGTAACTGTATCCTGCTGAGAAGCTGTTCCAGAACTTGCTGTTCTAGTGGTTGGGAGTCTTGTTTGTGATCAATTTATAGCCGTGTTTTTTGTCATCACTATTCTTGAGTCTAAATGATTCTTGCTGTGTATATCCTTAATGCATTTATAGACAGAAGCAATAGCTCATTTGTTCTCTTTTTGTCTATATTTTGATAAACTAGAAAAGCTGCTGTCTTAATTCTCTCTTTTCCAAAAGGCCCTTCATTTCCCTCATTCTGTTATGTGCTGGAGTACTGTTCCCAGTTAATGTAAAATTTAGTAATATATCATTTTTCATTTTATCCGCTCAGAATTGTCTACAGTATTCCATGTTAAGTCTTAGCAGTGCCTTAGTCTGTGGCACTGCTAAGAAGGACAGGGAACTGCTGGAGAGAGTCCAGCGTAGGGCTACAAAGACGATTAAGGGAGTGGAGCATCTCCCTTATGAGGAGCGGCTGAGGGAGCTGGGTCTCTTTAGTTTGCAGAAGAGGAGACTGAGGGGAGACCTCATTCATGTTTATAAATATATAAAGGATGAGTGTCACGAGGATGGAGCCAGGCTCTTCTCGGTGACAAATAATGATAAGACAAGGGGTAACGGACACAAGCTGGAACACAGGAGTTTCCACTTAAATTTGAGAAGAAACTTCTTCTCAGTGAGGGTGACAGAGCACTGGAACAGGCTGCCCAGAGAGGTTGTGGAGTCTCCTTCTCTGGAGACATTCAAAACCCGCCTGGACGCCTTCCTGTGCAACCTCCTCTAGGTGTTCCTGCTCCGGCAGGGGTATTGGACTAGATGATCTTTTGAGGTCCCTTCCAATCCTTAACGTTCTGTGATTCTGTGATACTACCCCTGTATTTCTGCAGGGAACAGCTTTCAGCATACTGCTTTACGCAACTATTTCAGATGGTGGTTTAATACAAGTAGTGTAAGATTGCTAAGTGTTCTGGATTTCTGTCTTCTGTGCCTCTGTTTTCCAGCTAACAAGCCCTGTCTTCAAGCTGCAGTTCTTGTTAGTATGCAAGTGCATGACCTTGCGTGTTATACAGTTGGATTTTGTTCCATTTCCAAAGGCCCAGTAATCAGTGTCGTCTGTGCTCTTTTTTCTGAATATGTTGCAGCACAAGTCTCTGAAGCATCAGCATCCAAGGATATTGCTAATAATTTTGGTTAGTGTATGCAACTTTTGGGGCAATGATCATTGTTCCCATTTTTATTTCACTGTTTTATCATAAATCCAGTATGATAATAAAGCTTTCTTATCAAAGTTTTAATATTCTTGGTCTGGTGTTATACTAGGGTCTGCTTATAAGGAACTTCTTGTTAGAAGAACTTTTTTCAAGTGTAGGGGAAAGGTCAGTTTACCCTGGCTGTTGATATCTTAACTTTCCCTTGTGAATGGAGATTTTGGAACCTCAGCCTCTCCTCAGATGACTTGTTGACCTAGAAAGTGGAGCTTCTGGGCCATGTATTGATTTTTATGAACTATGAGCTTTGCAGCCTTTCAAATTCAGGTGAGAGAGACCTGTCTGAACTGTGCATTTTGGTCTAGTCAGGATCAAGAGAGGTCATCCTGAATAAAGAACACTGTGGTTTTTTTTAAGTTGGTGCTGTTTATAAATAAGTTAAAATCCTTGATCTTCAGCTTACCAAGGAGGTCAGACTTGCCCTCCTTCCTGCGGTACCTGAGACCGTTTCTGAGGAAGCTGGCTGGGTCTTAGGTGGGTGAGAGGTCTCGAGGTGATGCTGCTGCTGTTGCAAATTGAGTTGAATATAAACACCTTAGAAATATGGTTTAATCCAGTAAACCTTGACAATAAAATCAGATTTTAAAATACTTATATCAATATACATTTACTCAATGCTATTCAAGGGAGATTTCTTGTATGCAAATCTTTACATCCCCCCCTCACTCCCACATTAAAACAAGATATTTAAAGACACTTTTTGTCTTTTTGGAGCTCGGTTATGGATAAAAATGACTAATGTTCGTCTCTACAGAACTTTCCAAGAAAAAGTTACTTAAAAGCTTTCTTCTGTGAATGTAACTTTTCTCCTTGTGAGCTGTTCTCCTCCTGTATTTGTTTCTCTTTAGGACCAAAATAACTATTTGTGTTTAACTATTGATTTTATTTTAGCTAATCAGAGAAATTGGTGGCATCAATTTAAAGAAGAACGAACCTCCACTCACTTGCCCTTACAGCCTAAAAGCCAGAGTGCTGCTGTTGACTCATCTTGCCAGGATGAAAGTTCCTGAGGTCCTTGAAGAAGGTAATGCCTTCTCCCCTCATTAGATTTTGTTGGAAACAGAGCACCGTGTTGCGTGCTACCGTACTCGTAATTCTTGTCCATGAAAGAGTTGCATGAATCTCTGCTCAGTAATCTCTGTGCAGTGTACTTAGTTTTTCAACTTTAATGACTCTTCAAAACATTTACTAGTTCTCTTGGCAGCCCTGTAATACTCATATTCTCCTTTTAAATATTTTTGGCTGCAAATGTGACTTCAATAATTTGTTGTTCTCTTTTTGTAATCGAGTAAAAAGTTAAACATATGAAGCATATTTGCTTTTCAGACTGGAGAAATCCAAGATAAGCATAATATTGTGTTCTGTAACATTCCCATGCATGGTTATTTTTGGAGTTTTATAGCCTACTATGTGAAGCAAAGATAAGATTAGAACTTTAAATATCAGTTACATATGAGCTTCAGTTTGTTTTGCAATTTTTCATACTTATAAATACACAAACTGAAATGTTTCTAAATGAGGCTCTTAAGTTTCAGCCATGAAACTTAGGGTTTCTTTGGCTGAGTAGCAATTTTGAGATGTTCTGTGTTTTAATGCAAATTAAAGAAAAACAAAACACAAAACCCCTACAAAAAAAACACAAAATGAACAAAAACCGGAAAAACCCCAAACAACAAACCAGTGAAGAGGCTTTGGTTCAATTTTTCCATCCAAGAAAAATGATCTGTTTTAAATAGTCACTAAAAATCTCTCACCTTCCTTGCTACTTATTGTTTGTACTGACAACTTCATGAAATTTTAAGCTAGTGCTTTACAAATAATGTTTTTTCCCAAAACTGGTGTTTCATTTAAAATTAAAAATACTTTTTTTTAAACTCATGATTGCCTAAAGAATTAATGCTATTTTAACAAGACTGGTAAATTGTCTGTGCCGTTCTGTAGCTTTAGGAGTACTTCTTCACTTGGTGTGGAAGTTGCTTGTTTGGTATAAAAAAAACTGTGTTCCCTCTTAGCACTTGCTTTTTCCTGTTTTGTTAGAGAGTGTTAAACAGATGTGTCAATGAGAATAAAGTGGTATTTTCAATAATATAAGAATGAATAGAAGTGAAGAAGGTACCATTAAATGTCCAGTTCTTGTAAACGGTCTCCTTTTTTCCTAATGGAAGTGCAGCATAATTGCAGCCAGTTGTATCTTGCAGATCAGCAGTTTATTCTGAAAAAGAGTCCTGCACTACTTCAAGAAATGATTAATGTGATCTGCCAACTAATAATAATGGCTCGAAGCCGGGAAGGTAAGAAAATAAACTATGATTAAGAACTATGATGATGGTAGGGCAGTGGATGTGGTCTGTCTTCATTTCAGTAAAGCATTTGACACTGTCTCTCACAGCATCCTCGCAGCTAAACTGAGGAAGTGTGGTCTGGATGATTGGGTAGTGAGGTGGATTGTGAACTGGTTGAAGGAAAGAAGTCAGAGTTGTGGTCAATGGGACAGAGTCCAGTTGGAGGCCTGTATCTAGTGGGGTCCCCCAGGGGTCGGTACTGGGACCAGTACCATTCAATATATTCATCAACGACCTGGACGAGGGAACAGAGTGCACTGTCAGCAAGTTTGCTGACACTCCAGAAGGCTGTGCTGCCATTCAGCGAGATCTGGACAGGCTGGAGAGTTGGCCAGGGAAAATCTTAATGAAATTCAACAAGGGCAAGTATAGG